CAGGAGGCAGAGGCAGGTGGATCTCTGTGAGTTCAAGGCCAGCCTGGTCTACATAGTGAGTTCCAAGACAGCTGGGGCTACAGGGAGACACTGTCTCAAAAAGACCAAAACAACAACAACAACAACAAAAAACAACAACAAAAAATCCGAAAAAAAGTTGAGTTAGTCTACTATGTTTTTCTTTATGAATGGGTCAGCAAAACTCACAGAGAAGAAGCCAGCCTGTGATTCCAGCACTTGTGAATTTGAAGCCAGTCTGGGCTACATGTTGAGTTCCAGCTACTCTGGACTACCTAGAGAGCCTCTGTCTCATTCCACGTCCAAACAAAAACAAACAAACAAACAAACAGCCCACCCTCACAGAGCACACTTGGGATGGCCTGGGGTTGTCTGGCACACAGGAGACTGGGGAGATTTCTTACAAACGGACAGGTTCTGGAGGTGGTGTTGTCCCAGGGTTCTGAGCGCTCTTCTCTGGGTTCTCAAAGCCAGTTCCCAGCCCCATCCTTGTTCAGGCTGGCCTCCTGTCTGCCTGGCCCCTGCCTACAGTGTGACAGCTGTCTCCCCTCCTGATGAACCAGGCTACCAACCCCAGCACTGCCCAGTTACAGAAGTGAGAAGGGCCAAGGGCTCCAGTGACAAGGTCAGACCAGCCTCCTGCATGGGTGGCAGAGCAAGGCTGGTGTGGACCAACCCGGAGCATCCCACACACCCTTGATGGTGGAAATGCCCAGAAAGCAGCCCCTGCTCCCACCAGCATGTCCACAAGGAGCAGCTGCCTCTCCAGCTCATGAATCCGCTCATTCTTCAGCTCAATGACATGGTACAAGCTCTCCAGCTCCTGCTCCCAGAACAGACCTGGGCTTCCGTGATCCTGGACAGGGACAGAGGGGCCTTGTCAGCCCAGCAGGTAGAGGCGGACATGGGCCGCCTTGCTTCCCCTCCTGCCAGCAGCTCGCGTGGTGGCCTCAGGTGGGCATTCACCTCCATCTCACAGCCCATGCCACACTTTCTCTCAAACTCTCCCACAGACACTCTTTGAAGCCTGTCTAGTAAAGGTGCTGGGATTGGTGGGCTGAGGGGCTGTGTTGTGTCGGGTTTGCTAGTCACCCCGAATTCCCGAATTCTCTCGGGTACCAGAAGGCTGTGTGCTTTACCCTAGTCTCTCTCCTCTCTCTCAGAGTGACATGGGGACCCGCTTTCTTGCTCCTGTGGAGGTGAGTGTCTCAGGCCTGAGGCTCCCTGTCTCCTGTTGCCCACCCTTAACCTCTCTGCTGCATTATGGAAGAAGCCCCATTCGTGTTCTGCACCTACTTGGATGTGCCTGTTATAGACCCGGCTAAGGAGGTACCCCTGCACTCCGTTCATCCGGGCCCACACGGCCTCCTGTGATGCACACAGCTTTGCACTGGTGTCCTCGAGGAGATGGCAAATGGAGTCAGTATCAAGCCTGGCTTGTCAAGGTGAATTTTATTATATCCCAGACAAGGAAGGGACTGGTGTTCAAGGCGTCTCTTGCCTCCCCGCACCCTCTACCCCTCACCCTTCTAAGAGCAGAGGAGAGTTAACCCACTGTTAACACAGCTTGAAATGTCCCAGCGCCACCTCTCACTATAGTCTTTAACAGCTCCCATGATGGCGGAGTCAGTATCAAGCCTGGCTTGTCAAGGTGAATTTTATTATATCCCAGACAAGGAAGGGACTGGTGTTCAAGGCGTCTCTTGCCTCCCCGCACCCTCTACCCCTCACCCTTCTAAGAGCAGAGGAGAGTTAACCCACTGTTAACACAGCTTGAAATGTCCCAGCGCCACCTCTCACTATAGTCTTTAACAGCTCCCATGATGGCTAATATTGTCAATTTGACAAGATCTAGAATCACAGAGGAGACAGACCTCTGGGCATGCCTAGGAGGAACCTTCTAGATTTAGTTAAGTGGGATGGGAAGACCCACCTTAAATATGGGCAGCACTATGCCATGGGCTGGGGGCCTGCACTGAATGAAAAAGAGCAAGCCACTGAGCACCAGCATCTGCCTTTCTGCTTCCTGACTGGGGACTCCATGTGATCAGCTGCCTCTTGCTCCTGCTGTCATGCCTTCCTGCCCTGATGGACTGACTCGGACCACGAGCCAACATAAACTTGTCCTTCCTTCAGCTGCTTCTGGTCAGAAATTTGGTCACAGCAATGAGAAGAGTCATAAATAAGTTCTCCAAACCCTTGGGATGATGTCCTGGCATTCAGGGCCAGCGTCAGCCTGCATTTGATACCGAGCTATGCCGGGGTCCTTTGCTCCTGTGTATCTAGTGGCTCAGCATCACATCACACTTCAATCACAGAGTGCCCTGTCTTCAAAATTGACCACTGAGCGGTATCTCCTTGGGTAGTCCCTTTGCAGCAGAGGCCAACCTCTCCTCATGGCTCCCAGGCTTCTGCCCTGAGGCCGTTGTCTCTCCTTGGCCCCCTCACATCCCTGGCATC